GCTCAAGAATATGGCATTGCAAGGACATCAGGTTATTTTGAATCACCCTGTATATGCTCAAATTTTCTGTGCTACATTATGCGCGAGCAAATTGCTACATAGAAATATTAAACAAAAGAATTCTCAAGTATCAAGTGGAAACATTCATTCTTTTGGAATTCTTTCTTTTACGAGATGACCTTCGTCGTTCTCTTGCATGAAGGTTCTTCGCGGAGCTTTTCGTTTTAAAAACCGCCGTCGGTCAGCTCATATCCGTCGCACAGCCGCGAGATGGCAGTAGTTATAAGTCAGACGCCGCCGTCACTGCGATGACTTCGTGGTGATCCCGGCAGACGGATGGTTCGCGTAGTATTGATACGCGCGTGTGTCACGCTTGTCTCATCGCGTAACCGGTCTTCTCGTTTGTGTGCTTCTTTTCGCGGAACGTCGTTCGTTGTCACCGTTCGCTGCCGTTGTTGCCATCATCGTCGTCGTTGTCGTCGTCGTCACAGCGCAAAGGTAAATCGCGAGGAAAACGCGCGCGAAGGGGCGATGGAACGCGCGTTGCAGAGAAGGAACATCACGGATCCGCGCACGCGTGCACGCGCGGCCGTCGTCGCGAAAGCTAATAACTCGTGCGAGAACTCTTGACACTTCCGTAAAATGGGAGTCTCTTCACGGTGCTCGTGATCCATCAAAAGTGCGCCGTGATCCATCTCCCATAACATCCCCTCTTCTAAAATTCTCTCCTCGTCCTTCAGCAATCTTGTCGTCGTGTCGTCCGCGACTTTTTCGCAGCGTGTCCTCGAGAGCATTCCTCTTTTCTCGCTGTTATTGTTCTCCCTTTTCGCATCTTCGTCATCGTTATTTTCCGCAACGACGCGCGACGTCGTGCCAGTTCCAAAACTTTTGAACGCGCGCGTTTGACTCGATCCGCCGTGTTTCGTAGTGTTGCGCGCGGTTTCGCGCGACATATTCGAAGCGTCACGACGATGGACGAATCCGGGATCGATATGGGATTCGACCTGACGGCTGCACTTGCCGTTGCTGATCCGTACGCCCATAATGTCGCTATCGGGGATTATGATGACGATTTCGAGCAGACTTTATCCCTTCTATCGTCTTCCACCAAGGACTTGATGTACTATGAGCTGAAAAGCCGCGCACCTGACACTGGCAGGTATGTGATTTTAGTGCCGATGATGATTTTTTAACGCGAATTGTTGATTAAACAAAGGTTAACCCAACCTAACCTATTCTAACCTAATTGTTAATCAAACATTGATGCGAGGTGAACAAACGTATTCTGTTCAATTGACAATGATTTTGTTACAGTAACAATATCAATGGGACTAATTTATAGACTTATTAATGTTGTTAATATTAATTATCATTGAGATTTAGCAATTAATATCAGCATTAACATCAGCATTAATAATAATGTTGCATAAGTTGGAGAGATGATACTCTCCATTTTAATGAGTAGGGAATATAAATTACATTAATCATAATTATTGAACGTAAATTTTATTTACGATGGTTACCAGCCCCCCCTC